GAGAGAATTATTAGCTATCATATATGCTATGGCAAATGAGAATCTTATTTGTGAAGTAAGGCCGTTATTACTAAAATATATTAAAAGAGTTTGAAGTATCTTTTTTTCTAGGATAAAGGTTGAAAGCCTCGTTTTAATTAGCAAATCTACATGGCTAAATTGATGGGGTTTGACTTTGAAATTTAATCCAAAGAGGGAAAAACTAATATTGCTAGAAGGGTTTTTATGATTATCTCAAATGTTCTTGGCAACAAGGCTCTATACTTGAGCAGTTTCTTATTTTACATAAATTGATCCTTTGAGTCATCTTAAGTTTTCACAGTAAATGAATGAACTTAGAAGGTAGGGCAAGTTGGTAGTGATATATGATCCCAATCTTTGGCTATAGATTTTAAATTAGTTACACGATTCTCTAGTAGGGAGCTATTCAATTAGAAATGCCATTATCCCTAGCGTAAAGACATTATTTTATTGGAAGGGAATGTGAAGGATATGAAAAAACTATGTGAAAGAATGCGACATTTGCCAAATATGCAAACATGATTTAGCTCATTCTCTAGGACCTATGCAACCTCTTCTTATTCCTTCTAGAGTTTGGGATGATATCAGTATGAATTTTGTAGAAGGACTACTATCATCTTGTAGAAAATAAGTTATTATGGTTATTGATAAACTCATCAAAGTAGCTCATTTTCTCTCATTAGCTCATCCATATACTATGGAAGATATGGCTCAGTTATATCTTGATAGCATTTTAAAGTTAAGTAGTTTTCTTTATAGTATCACAATGACATCTTTGTTAGTAAATTTTGGGATGACTTTGTTAGTTGCAAATCATTTCTTTGAATAAAGCCTCTACCTATCATCCATAGTTAAATGGGTTATTGAAATTGTTAATCTTAGGTGTGTGTGTTTAGACAAACCCTTTGCATAGGCTAAATGTTTCCATTAGCCCATGTACTCTTCTAAATGTAAAAAATGGATCTTATTTAGGAAAAATGAACTTCATAATCTACAAACATAAAATGTTGGTTCTAATATAGGAAATATGAGACTAATTTCTCATATATTGCTCAAAATGCAAAATCTCTTCTATTATTTTAGAAAATAACTTCATTATCTCAAAATAATTAATTTTATCACGTCTGGTGTAACTAATGTGAACCGCTTTTGACTTGGCCAAAAGGATTGAGAAGAAAGTACGATCCTTCTCGCTATCCTATTAATTAGTAAGTATCGAGCTTAAAATAATTTTAGATAGGAGAATGGTTGAGGGAGGACATGTGGCTGCCAACAAGGTATTGGTTAAATTGAAGGTTTGCCTTAAGACCAGTCTACTTGGGAGTTTTATTATGACCTTGCTTTAAATTTCTTGATTTTCACCATTGAGGACAAGGCTACTTTCATAGGGAAGGCTTTATTATAAGAGTACAGACTATCACAAATTGATAAATATAGTCGCTGAGGTACAGTTAACAATTATAGTTGTTGAATGGTAGTTGACAATTATAACTGTTGAAAAAAGTTGACATTTATAGCTCTTAAGAGGAGTTGGAATGTCTGTCAAGCTATTAAAAGGGTAGGGGCAGGTAGCATGGTAGCATGACAAGAATTAGTTTGTTTTATCACGTCTAGTGTAATTGATGCGAACCACTTTTGACTAGGCTAAAATGATTAAGAAAAAAATGTGATCACTTAAGGAATATCTTTAATTTAATTTTAAATAAAATCTAACATTGTAATTTTGAAGCTGCAATTACGTAAACAACACTCTCTATCATCTAGATCTAACCACAAACTTTCTCCAAAATATAATGAACCATTTCATGTGATTGATAAAATTGGGTCAATTGCTTATTAGTTAGATCTTCCACTGAGACTGTTATTTATAATATTTTTTATGATTCTTAACTTGAGCTTTGTATTGTTTTAGGCATGTTTGTTGAAGTTCCACTTCCTTTTCGCTATCTTATTAATAGTAAGTATTAAGCTTAAAACAATTTTGGATAGGAAAATGGTTGAGAGAGAACATGTGGCTGCCACCAAGGTGGTGATTAAATGGAATCTCTGCCTCAAGACTAGTCTACTTGGGAGTTTTATTATGATATTTGCTTTAAATTTCTTGATTTTCACACCATGAGGACAATGGTGCTTTCACAAGGAGGTTTTATTATAAGAGTGCAGATTGTTACAAATTGATAAATATAGTTATTGAAATACAGTCAATAATTATAGTTGTTAGGTGGTAGTTGACAATTATAACTGTTAAAAAAAGTTGACATTTATAGCTCTTAAGAGGAGTTGGAATGTCTGTCAAGCTATTAAAAGGGTAGGGGGTGGGTAGCATGGCAGCATGACAAGAATTAGTTTGTTTTTATCACATCTAGTGTAACTGATGTGAACCACTTTTGACTAGGCTAAAATAATTAAGAAAAAAATGTGACCACTTAAGGAATATCTTTAATTTAATTTTAAATAAAATCTAACATTGTAATCTTGAAGCTGCAATCACATAAACAACACTTTCTATCATCTAGATCTAACCACAAACTTTCTCCAAAATATAATGAACCATTTCACGTAATTGATAAAATTGGATCAATTGCTTGTTAGTTAGATCTTCCACTGAGACTGCTATTTATAATATTTTCCATGATTCTTAACTTGAGCTTTGTATTGTTTTAGGCATGTTTGTTGAAGTTCCACTTCCTTCTCGCTATCTTATTAATAGTAAGTATTGAACTTAAAACAATTTTGGATAGGAAAATGGTTGAGGGAGGACATGTGGCTGCCACCAAGGTGGTGGTTAAATGGAATCTTTGCCTCAAGACTAGTCTACTTGGGAGTTTTATTATGATTTTTGCTTTAAATTTCTTGATTTTCACCCATGAGGACATGGGTGCTTTCATAAGGAGGGCTTTATTACAAGAGTACGTACTGTTACTTTTATTACAAGAGTACAGACTGTTACAAATTGATAAATATAGTCATTGAAATACAGTTGACAATTATAGTTATTGAGCGGTAGTTGACAATTATAACTGTTGAGAGAAGTAAACATTTATAGCTTTTGAGAGAAGTTGAAATGTTTGTCAAGCTGTTAGAAGGGTAGCAAGGGGATTAGCATGACAGCATGACAAGAATTAGTTTTGTTTTCATTTTTCTCTCTCTTTTAAATCTTTTATTCCTCTGTAAAAAGAGAATCATTATTTAGATGAGAATTTAAATGAAATACATAATATTTGGCGTGTTTGGGATTTTTGAGGTTATAGACATTCGTGCACGCCCGCGCACACATAATAGAAAGGTAACATAGTCCCATTTTGCACTTTGGTACCTGTTGTTTGCACTTCTTTGATTCAAGTTGAAAACTTTTAATTTTTTCAATTTATTTTTGAATTGACCCTAATGTTTCAAACTTTAATTATTTTACCTATAAAATAAGTTATTCAATAAATTACTGTATATTATTATATTAATGCATTACATTTTTTTTATTAATATTTATTTATAAAAATCAAAACTATGTCAAAATATACAGTATTATTACTTAATACTAAAAACTAATTTAAGAAAAAAATGAACTTTTAGGATAGCATAGTACAGTTTGATTTTGAAAAAAAAAAAAAGAAAACATCTAGCATTATTAGGTGAAAATTATACCTTTCGTGATCAAAGGCAACAATAATAATAAAGAAAAAACAGATAAATAAGATTAGAGAATTTTCATGTATTTTGTTCAGATTCTCATCCGAACAACTAATTTCCTTTTTATAAAGGAGTAACAGAGCTTATAAGAGAGAAAAATGAAAAACATAACTAATTCATATGGAGAGCTAAAGCATAAAGAGAAAAAATTTTAAAAAAATATATAAAAGAATGACAGAGAGTTTTAACTCAGTGGTCGTGAGTCGTGAGCCGACCTCAATGGAAGTTCAAACCTCGTCAGGAGCTCGTAATCCATGTTTTACATTTCGAGATCCGGTGGTTCTCTCCTTGTTTAAATACCAGAGAAAAGATCCTCCACTTTGTGGGAAAATTTAAGTGTCCGTTTTTACTCTCTCTTTTTAAAACTTCAAATCTTCGCACTCGCCACCAAAAAGGAAAAATTATACTTGATGATAAGAACATAATGCAATATAAAGATGAGAAAGGTTCTCTCAAATTTCAACAGATTAGAACTATGAAAATAAAAATAATAAAATAATCATTTGATATTTTCATTTCTTTTCTTTGGAGAAACGAAACAATAAAGTGTTGTACCTGGTGGCACACTTGCCCAAAAAAGAATTCTATTTCCTCTCTGTCATCTGATTTTAATTAATTTATCATTTAATTTCCAGAAATTACATTGAATCATTACAACAATTAATAAGGAAAATTGTGGTGGTACCCTGATGTTATATTTGCTGAAATAGGCAGATATCAAACATTCATTCTGCTTTAGCTCGAGGAACCGCAAACTAAATTATCCCTTTTCCCTAAAAACCCAAGAAAAGATGGGACAAAAATTAAGGAATTACAATGATCATGATTCCCACCTTGCACCACTATTCACGAGTTTGATGTAGGCATTCTTGAAATCTTCAAAAAATAAATTCTGATTATCAGCATACTTTGATATCCACCTGCGCATTCAAGTCCATTTTTTTTTTTTTAAGAAAAGGAAAAAGAAAAAGAGAGGAAAGGGTAAGTTCAAAAAAAGAGCCCATAAGACATACTTCAAGAACTTTGATTAACCAGGAAAAGGAAGCAATTGATCAACATGGCAATGCAGTTATAAAAGTTCCAATCCCCACCAAGGAATTATTGCAAACCTCGGCTAATGAAGAAAATGGAATAGTTTTCTCTTTTACCTTCTTGGGTGGGTTGCCAACATGGGGACATCAATACAAATATTCCACTAGCAGAAAACCTAGTTTGCTAAGAATTACTGCAGACCCTAAACCATAGTGAAAAAGGAAGTTCTTTCTATTGGTTGCTTGGAAAGTAGAAAACCTTGAGCATTCATCATCCTCAACGAGTGCACGATCTGATGGAAGTCCAATCATACTAGACATACCAGCTGCACAGAAGAATGACAAGTGAACATTATTTTAAGAAATAAACTGATGAACAGATGTGCAAAGCAATAAACACAATGAACAAAAATAGATGCATAAATGCATCATTATCCTAAAACTAAAAGTAAATCCAAATTCTTCAATACCATGTCATCAGAGGATACACAAGTCTTCGTTCTGCTACTTGCATTCTGGCAACATACAAGTAGCCCCCTAACTCATTCTTTGTTTCATAATTTCATTTTAAGGTGTGGTGATTCAAGCGAGTATCAGGAAGAGGATAACAGAAAAATTATCTGAATAGGCCCAGGCTGTGGCGGAATGCATAAATGGTTCAGAACAGAGTGCAATTTCTTATATAAAATGATGGTACCATGTCAATCACCTGAAGACAGCCAGGGCTTCTCTAGAAGTATTTTGAAATATGAATTATCAAAAACAGTAGGGTTTCCAAAGCCTTTACTCCCAAGAGTATGAGCCCCAGACAGCGCAACAAGCTCTCGTGTTCTGCCAAAAAAATGCAGACAGGTCAGGCACTTTACCAAATGTAGTACACATAATATATCCACTCCCACAATATGAATCGTTTGAAAAACCATGTTCTTGTTTTCTAAGAGACCTTTTACAAGGTCATGTGGAATGGATCGAATAGATCATGAGCAATAATCAAGTAATCTGTTTGTTTATCCAAGATGACCAGATATCCTACAACCTAGGGATGAGGCTGCAACTTGGATGGGCTCGACCCAAGCAACCTGAACTTAGGATCCAAAAGATAAAATTTCGACAACAACATTTTTGGGTCAGCTGTAGATAAAATGAAAAAGGCCTATATTATTCTTGATCTCGAATCATTATAATTTAACTGAAAAGCAAAATGGAGATATAGGATTAAGTTAAGTTCAAAAAAGGCCAAGTTCAGTAGACTTCTAAATATTATTCATCGAAAAAGAAAAATAAAAGAGAAAAGAAAGTGCCTAGAATTTAAACTCACGAAAACCCTTTTCTCTGAAAACATCGCTTCAGACCAAAAGCATCCAATGATTCTTGAGGAAGTTTCCCTTCAGCATCCGCTACCCTACAGCACAATATTAATTAACATTTTGGCTGGAAGTTCTTCAGAATTTAATATATAAATTCTGAATTCTGAGAGCTGTGTGCATGATTAAGATCAAAACAACCTCTGCACAGCTTAGTCATAGATAAGTAAGAATATTGTTGAAGTTAATTTATCTAAAATGGCAGTTTCTCCACAGCTGAATGAACATGGCCCTAATTCATGATTAGTGAAAAAGACTAACCCCTTACATGGAATCTATTCTCCCTAATCGAAGTGGAATACTTGGACCTCCACACAAAGAAACAGCTTCTGCTCCAGCCAAAGCAATGATGTCTGCCCATGATACTATAATGAAGCAAACAACAGAGAGCCAACATTTTAAATTTTACTACAAAAAGGAAAAATTCCTGAATTAACTTGAGATGGTAATAACTTACCAGGTCGTATAGCATCCACTTCAGTCTTTGCTTTTTCAAGGATCTAAACAACAATGCATCCACTGAGTTAGCCAGTGGAGGATCATGCAAATGTTCATTATTTCTGGATATAAAAACACCTCAAATTTGATAAGCAATCAACCTACTGAAATATATATCTGTGTGCCTACGAATAGGTATATGTATGCAATTATGCATTCAAAAATTGTAACACAAGAGATCTTTGCCTTGAGAGGTTTTTGAAGGCCTGTGTTTCTCAGGTCTGTCAAGTTCATAAACTATAGAGCCATTCATTCCACCTGAAATAAAAAATTTATCCAAATAGAAGGTTAACTAAAGGAATCTAAAGCTAAGGTAACACAGCATAAAGCCAGTGAAAATAAGGAGGGGCTTTAAAACTATCATAGTACAATAGCTCATGTACCTTTTTGATGGAATTTTTCTATCCTCACTGGGTTGCCTTTCCTGTCCAACAATTTTTTTTTCCCTCAATCGCAACTCATTTCTCTCAAAAAAGAGTTAATTGCCAGCTATGTCATCATTTACAGAATATTCAAAAACTTAAGATATGTTGCCAGCATTGTAGAACGTACTAGACAGATACACTTCCCTTACACACACTGGATAAATTTTCTAGGATATAGTGTAGCATAAGTTTCACAACTGGCTATTCAACATTTTGGTACACTTCAAGGACACTTTCTTGTCATTAACTAATTCAATCCTCACCAGTTAAAAAATAATGCTATGCATTCAACTAGGGAAATGTGTTCCATACCCTAAGAAACCTCTGTACTGGTTGTTTTCCACTGAATAAAGTAGGCTAGAACACCAGTTTGAAGAATTAAAACTTTACGTTGTACTTTTCCAAAACAACTGTGCAATAGAACATCAAATGACAATAATGGGGCAACCTCCATTTAAGCAGCCTCTGCTTACTTGCTTTTTAAATTATTCTAAATGGTCGAGTGTGTAACTTACACTTTGACTTCTAAAAGTCTATTCAGTTTATGTCTTATCAGCTGGTCAGAAGTGTAACCTCCATGCAAGGTAAGAACTCTTGGCTAAAACTCTTTTCATAGAACATTTTTCCTAGCCATTAGATCATATTATCTCACATTTCTAATGTTGGCATTGCACCTTAAGCGACATTTATTGCTTACATCATTCCTGCAAATGATGTGAGGATGGAATGGCATAGTGTTTCTGCAAATAAACAAGGCATGATTTTTTGCAAAACCTTTTTATCCCATGCAAAAAGGCATTTGAAAAATTGACCACCATAAACACTCAAACAAACTGGCAGCACTTAAGATAATAAATTTCTCCTATTTCTCTATTGAACATATACTGTTAAGGATTCCCCATCTTCTTCATTCAGGTAAAAAAAAAATTGAAATCTTAAAATGTAGGTTGAAATTAAATGTGTCCATTGGTTCCTCAATTTAATATGCTGGAGTATTTTGATATTCTAGAGTGGCAAAACAATGGCATGGTGCCTCAATTTTACAAAGAATACTGAATGGTTAAACCAACAGCATCTTGCTCAGCAAGTGGAATTTCCAAACCACTACCACAACAATTTATTGACAAATAATATATGAAACAATGCAGAAAAAATATGAGTAGCAATTGTGGTCAATTGATAATCATGTATTTAGACATTTTCTATGTCCAATTCCTGAATATATTTACCTGAATTCTCATCTATTTCAAAGGTTCCTGCATCATGAAAAGCTAAAACGAATACACCAGGTGCCTTGCCCTTCGACAATACTTTCCTTATCTCCTCCTTTATGGAAGAATATCTCTGGCATAAAAAAATCAATACAAGTGATAACATAAAATATGAGAAACTGTAACAAGTCATATGACCAACTTCAGGCTTGGACTAATTCCAGAAAGATGGTATTATCCATAGAGACAAGGCTATTTTTTGTATAGCTGTATTACTACAAATTTACAAACAACTATTTAAATATAAGTATTTTATTTATATATATAATGGCTTATTTCTACACTTCCAACTCCCTTAAATAATCATAACAAAAGTTAGTATTTAAATAAATTTGTTATTCTTTATGTTTTTGTTTGCATTCCTTCTGGTTACATTATTTTGATTCCAAAGAATAATATAATCATTTCAGTACAAATGGTTAAGCAAGAAAAATACTATTCCTTGTATTCTATTGCATTAGAGTAAACTTTGGTATTTGTCCTTTTTTCTGCTTTTCCAAATTTCACTATTATATGGTCAATTAATGTCATCTTACTGATTTATTCTGAGAAAATAATTTTTCAATATTTAGCTTACCGCTGATTGATGCAAAGACAAAGAAAATAACATTATATTTGGTAACAAATTCAAAATGTAGAGGAAATTGAAGAAGCAGAAAAGCTACAACCTCAGCTCAAATTTTTTGTCTAAGATAACGTGAAAAACTTTTACTTTTTGCTTGATATCTCTGCAATTTTTGAACAATCAGAACTTGTTTGATTTCAGTTCTCCGATAAAACAAGACAAGTCTCCCCTATTTTCTAATATCTATTTTACTTGGCTAATAGACGAAAAAAATTGCTATTTGCAGATCAATGAAGGAAAAACTCGTGCACTTCTTTCGACAATGTAGAATATTGTGTGAATAAATTAGAGAATCAATGATAGATATTTTAATTTTAAACTATAGAAAAATAACAAGTTTAACATATTATTATTCGGACAGCTGACAATCTGCGAGTGCAAATAAGAAAAGGGTAAAATAGGTAAGCAAAAGTGTGCTTGAAATTGACTTTAATTCCAATAATATTTGGCATCCTGAACACTTTAACCCTTAAGATACCTATAACATGAATACATAATACTCCAAAATTCCATAACACAAAAATATCAACTAAAAAAATCACCCTACTCAGTTATCTACTTGTCCTTAGAACCCATTTAAACAAGTGAAAATACAGAAGTTCTAAGCATCCATTTTGTTTGCAAGAACATATAGGTACACCAACGAGAAGGCAATAGGATAGGTGGATTTAGTAGCAAAGTAGAAAGGTAAAAACAAAGAGGATGGAAAAAGCTGACTTTTTGTTAGACGAGGAAAGCTGCACACACAATGTGGTGTTGAACTCTAAATGGAAAGGATAGTCATGTCTTTCCACTGTTCATCCTAAAGTAATGCTTACATATCTCATTTGTGTGCGTGGGCGCATGTACAACATTGGTCAATCTATTGAATTGGATGGATTCTGTCATCTTGCATAGCATTTTCCATCTCAAATTGTTTGTGTTCCCCTTAGATAGTTAGTCATATAGTTTCAATATACACTAAAAATGAAGAGAATTATTTCCCTATTTCTTTGGCCCTAACACCACACCCCCCCCCCCCCCAAAAAAAAAAAAAAAAAAAAAAAAACATTCTTGCTGAGTTTTAATGCTAATATTTAATATATGTACCTAACTTCTTATAATGTAATTAACTGAGTTTATCAATGCACTGCTGATGTAATGCTTTTGTTATCAAAAGAAATAGAAGAAACATATGATTCAACAATAACAAAATGACTAAGCACAAATTAAAAACATTGAGCATGTAAATACATAACCTATCAATTTATTTTTTTCCAATTAGGAAAAGGTGTGAAGCATAAATTATTCTTACAATTATATAAGTTATTTTAATAGCATTTTAACTTTTCAGTATACATGTATTGATCATTGTGCATTTCCCAATCCATTTCTCAGCTTTAAGTTTTGAAATGAAGTTATGATGTATCTTATTTATCATATTCATTCAATTACTAACAATACTCAACCCATATTTTCAAGATTACATCAAAATTAGTATTTTAATAGAATTAATTGACATTCATTGTGACCAAGGTGTCATGAAGCTGGCAGAACCAGCCATCAGTTCTTCATATGACATCTGGATGCACTGCACTTGAATAACGAGTTCAATTAGATGAAACCATTAACCCATTTAATATTAAACATCATTACCTATTTCAAGAAGTTATCTAAAACCACAAAATAATGAGTAAACTAACTAACTTGTTGAGCTAAATTTTTAGGAAATCTCCCTCTCTCTCTCTCTCTCTCTCTCTCTTTTCTCTCTCTCTCTCTCTCTCTCTCTCTCTCTCTCTCTCTCTCTCCTTTCCCTTTCAAGTATCAGAAGAACAAGGCATAACCCAATCCAGCAGCAACCACTAAGAAAGCATGTGCACATTCATAACTTACTCCGCAGCATTAGCACGAAAGCATTCCAGCGCTTCAAACATATGAAGAACCACCGGACTTGTAGCCACAGTTATGATTCCTCTCCTACCACATGATGTAAAATCTGTAATTCGAACAAAATCAATCCGCTCAACTATAAGAATATTAAACGTCAAAACTGCAATTGGGCTACTTAATTAAATACAACCACAAGGGATTCCAACTCTTTCATGCATCAGTAGAAAGAAAGTAATCAACAAAGCAAATAAAGTAAAGAACAGAAAAATCAGCGTACGTCAAATTGACCCCAATTACTTAATGTCAGCAATATAGAATCATCAAGCCGAAAAAGCAAATCAAAACGAGGACAGATATTTACTTAAGTCATCACCGCAAGCGGGAGTAGCGGCGGAGGAAGATGCTCTACTGGTTCTACCTCGGAAGGTGACCGTTGGTTCAATTTTGGCGGGAAACATAAATCTGCGGCCGACGCTGGTGGCTGCGGTGGCGCTGAAGGAGGTGGAGGTCGAGCAGACCAGCAGGGGGTCGACGCCGGAGGCCGTCATCCGCACACGGACGGTGGAGAATGCGTTTGCTTTGGCCTGCTTGGAATTTAGACTGGGGCTTGCGCGTGATTAATCCAACATATCAAACCAAAAACGTTACTCTCATGTGTTTGCTTTATAAATTCTGGAAATTAAAAATTTATAATTCCAAAAGATTTTTGAGATGTTTTATATGAAAATAAAACGTAATTAACTAAATTTAATATTAGAATATTGGGTTGATATCATCAAGTAAAATTAAACTCGTATTTTATACAATATACTAAATATAAATTTGATGGTTATTTTGTTACCGTAATAATTGAACACTTGTTCAATCTTCCCCTGCCCATATTTAGTGTCTGAGCATTTTCTTAGGGAAAAAAAAAAGGGACAGATGATACAATAAGAACTCTTTTATATAAATATAATATAATTCACATTTTTAGTAATTTAATAAAATTTTAATATTTATGGGACGAATATGAAATGTAAAGATAGAAATAGAACACCGCATAGTTAATCTTACGGATCTTCACTATGTCTTGATTTGTTTTTCTGGCCAAAGAGTTTTCAAGCTTTTGCTGTGGATACTACAACAACACAGTGACTGTACAACGAGACGAAATTAACTTTTGTATGACACTATGAACTGATTTTCCTGTATAAGTTGAACAGAACAAATGTTGAGCACAGCTGTCTGTGCCCGGAAGCCTCGCAGCAGAGAGACGAGAATCACTTTTGCAATCTGAAGTTCCTGAAGCAGTGCCCTCCTCCACGATAGACTCGAAAAAGCTTGAAGACAAATGAGAACCCATGTGAGAAGCAGTGGGAGGAGGAAGAACAGGGCAGACACCTTCCAGCATTTGAACTACTTTAGTCATTGGAGGCCTCATCCGCACATCAGTCTGTATGCACCACAAGGCTACTTTAATTGCAATCCTTACCCTCTCATCCACTTCATCCACCTTCATTTTCAATTCCAGGATCTCTCACATTTTCCCTTCTTCCATCATCTTGCAAGCGTAGGAAGGATAATGCGACTTCTCTGAAGTCTCTGTGGTGTCAGAGTTCTTTCTTTCCCCTATTATTTCAAGCAAAATCATTCTATAGCTGAAAACATCACTCTTCTCTGAGATGGCATAGTTTGTGAGCTACTCTGGCGCCAGGTAGCCTTTTGTGCCTTGTAAAGTGGTGAAGGCCTGGCTCTGCTCACGTGTCATGAGCTTGGCCAGTCCAAAATCCGAGACCTTGGCGTGAAAATTGTCGTCCAACAGCTCATTTTCAGGATTTATGTCCCAGGGAACTGTCTTGGCTTCACAATCTTCATGCACATAAGCTAGACCCTTAGCTGTCTCCGCTGTTGAGAAAATTTTTAATTATTTGTAATTATCCTCTACAATTGGATTTTATCTTTTGTCTTCTTAGTTAGTAATTATCTTAGGATTTATTTTTAGGATAATTAGTAGAATTTCTTCTCTATAAATAGGACTTTCTGTAAATAAGTTTTGTGAGAAATTTAATTTGAGTGTTTTATTCATCATTGGTATCAGAGTTAATTCCTCAAGATCCTTTCGCAATAAAGACCTAAGCGAAGCAATTGAGAGTTTGAGGGTGAGGAAACCTAAGAAGGACTTGAGCGAAAAGATCAAAAGTTAAGGGACCCGAACTTGAATAGTTCAAGGACCAGAGTGCAAAACCTGGAGAATTAAAGGACCAATCTACCAAAAGAGAAGACTTGGAGGACTGCACTTTGGTTGTCTTCCTCGCAGAAACCCTAGTCGCTGCGAGCTGTACCCTCTCTCTTTCCATTGCTGTAACTTTGTCAACTCAACTGGTTTAATCCAAAACCAAATCCAACTAGATCTGATTGTCGCTATTGCCAATTACTTGAGTTTCAGATCAAATTCTCTCAAAATTTGCAAATTGAGTCGACTTCTGCAGATCTTGTTCTTGTTCACCATACCAATTGCAAACTGAGTGACTTGACTCGGCCATTGTGTCTACAAAAACCAAACAGAGTAGAAGTAATCAGCTGAATAGCAAATCTAAGAAAATCAACCAAATCTTCACCAGAGCAAGTACATTCAGCCAATCCAGAAAGCCATATCTGCGACCCCAAATTGCAAAAATTAGAACACTTGATGATGATGGAGCTCGAACACCACCAATTAATCAAACTGACCATAGGGAAGACAATCCAGATCTGAAACGCAATAGATCTAGCTTTCGATCGACAAAAAAGGTGTAGATCCACAGATTCAACACTGATCTGACTTGAAATAGAAGCAGCAGACCAGACTTGCCTACAAGTCCAACCCGATCTGCAAATCCAATTGAACTGGGCCAACTCACTTGAACTGGATCAACCCGAATCGGCCCACCTGAACTGGCCAACCCGAATCGGTCCATCTGAATTGGACCACCTGAACTGACTGAAATGAACCAGCAGATCTGAACCAGGCCATTCAAATGCGCAAAATTAAACTGGATCAATCAAAAATACTTGAGGAAAGATCTAAAAGCTTCCAATGGCCTTCTGACAACTTTGTACAACCTGCCATTCCTCGATTTGATGGCTATTATGACCACTGGAGCATGTTAATGGAGAATTTCTTGAGATCCAAAGAATATTGGCAAGTGGTTAGTGAAAGCATTACAGAACCTTCATCCAAAATCGAAGGTGGGGCTGAACCATCAACTCCAACAATGTTAACAGCTATCCAAAAGACAGAATTGGAGAGTTTAAAGCTGAAAGACCTGAAAGCTGAAAATTATCTATTCCAGGCAATAGATCGAATGATCTCAGAGACCATACTCAACAAGTAGACTTCAAAAGACATATAAGACTTCATGAAAAAGAAATATCAAGGCTTATCAAGGGTGAAACGAGCACAACTTCTAGCTTTAAGACAAGACTTTAAGATTCTCGAGATGAAAGACGGTGAGTCCATCACGAGCTATTTTTCCCAAACTAGGGAGATTGTCAACAAAATGCGGTTTAAGGGGAAAGGTGGATGACATCACCATTGTTGAAAAGATCCTATGCTCCCTAACACCGAAGTATGATTTTGTTATCTGTTCTATTGAGGAATCTAAAGATCTTAATATACTTTCAGTTGATGAACTCCAAAGCTCCTTCTTGGTACACAAACAAAAGTTGAACCGAAGTTCAACTAAGGAGGAACAAGCCTTTAAAGCCTATACTTCTACTTGATCCTCGAACTTTAGAGGAAGAGGCCGGGGAAGAGAAAGAGGCAGAGGTAAAGGAAGAGAAAGACATGATTCCAGAGATGGAGATAAATAACAGGAGCAAAATCCTAAGCCAACAACAACCAAGGCAGAGGAACTGATGGCATAACAAATCTAAGTTCAAATGTTATAGATGTCACAAATTCGACTACTATAGTTATGATTACTATACTAAACTG